AACTGAAGGAAGTAAGAAAAATAAAATCTTGTGTGGGAGGCGGAGGTTGCAGTGAGCCAAGATTGCACCACTACTCCAGCCTGGGCAACAGAGCAAGACTTCTAAAAAAAAAAAAAAAAAAAAAATTTCAGTGAGCTACAGTTTCAACCAGAACCGCCAGGCTATTCTTAACACATACAATATTGAGATGGTTTCATGAGTCATCTTGTATCATGACATTTCTTCAGAATTTCTAGGAGAGATGAAACTGAAATCATCTTCTGTTTAAAGTATTTTTTTCTTAACATGTTTCTTCTTTAAACAGAATAAATTACCTTATGCTGGAAATACTTTTTAATGTTTAAATTGTGCTACGTTGCATACATTTCCTGGATATGGATTACAGGACCAAATTTATTGCTGAAAAGAAATGCTGGAATGATTCTAAATATCCATGAGTATTACTTAAATAGGGTAAGGGCTGCTGAAAATGATAGCATCAATGATAATAATGCACCTCTTAGACTGTTGAATTGCTGCTTGGTTTTCTAATTTATTCCACAGGCATTTATAAGCACCTATCGTGTTCCAGGCCGTATTTTACATATTCCTGTTGGAATTAATGGACTCTTACCATGCATTTGTTCACTCGCCATTAAAAGAAACAAACTTCACTGTTACAGACGCACCCTGATACCATATCATGGAAGGTCCAATCCTCTATGTCTTTTCATTGGGGAATAATTATCATGCAGAAGTTAAAATTATTTCCAAAGCACTGTTGTGTGTCTGCAAACATAAGGCCGCGCGTCATATGATCACAGTTGGAAGTGAACATTCTGAGAGAGAGGAAGCTCCTAACAGCAGCTGCTTTTGCTGATCTCCCACAAACACACTCTCAACAAGGCTTGCTGCTCAGTCGTTGTGTCTTAGATTTTACAGTCATGTTTATGCCAAATAACTTTTTCCTTAAAAAGTGAAAAAAGAAAGTAAAGGAAAATGTTCACTAAAGAAAAGAGTTCAGATTTATTTAATTTTTCTACAGATCTTCCAACCAAGAAGCAGCAGCTACAGGCTTTGAACCTTCTTGTCATCCTCCTACCTGATGCAAACAGGGACACACTGAAGGTCAGCTCGGTTAATTTACATTAAATATCCCTTAGAACTAAGCACAGTAATTTTTCACTATTTGTTGCAAAGCAATAAGATGTGTATCTTGGATATGGTCATAAAAGTCTGTAAAGAAAAAAGCCTACTTTTAAGGACAGGATGAAAGTCTTTAACTCTTTATTTATGAGGTTATGTTACTAATATTTTTAAGTTTTTTTTTAAATTTTCACTATAACATTTATTCTTCCAAACCAGATGATTGAGGTTCATTGGTTAATGGAAACATGGGTGGTTTTTAGTTTTTTTCTCCTCTTTTTTTTTTTTTTTTTTTGCATTTATCGAATTGTATTTAATAAGCAGTTAGCAGCAGTAAGGTAAAATATAAATGTTTAAAACAAAAATTCTAAAGCTCATCAAATATAACCCACTACTACCTAAAGATATTACAATTTGTAGTTAGAAATGGTAGATTTTGAAGTAAGTTGTAATGGTGATTTGATACATTTGTTAGCCGAAATATAGACCAACTCAAACAAATTCTAGTTATTTCTCTAAAGGTTTATCCTGGGTTTCTGATTTATATCATCATTTTGAAGTGATTTGGTCTAATGTTTATATGACTTAATACTATCTATTGTAGGTGTTGTCAGAAGCTCTTATAATCAGGGATTGTGCCACACTGATTTATTTTCCTTAACAGCAGAGTTTATAGAGTTTATAGTGTAGTTGCAAAAGGTTTAATTATAAACTCTTAGAAAAAGAAAAAAAATTAACTTAGTAAAAGTATTATCTTAAGTTTTGCCCTGCCGTAAAAATATTTTTTATATGGGTAGAGGGCTTCTTTACCCTCTTCATTTTTTTTCTATTTAAAATGAAATCTCCTCATGAAAAGAACTTTCAAGTTAAGAAAAAAAATTTACTACTTGCTACATCTTGGAATTTTTTTCTCTTAATTCATTAAAACTCCTTGAATTGTAACTGCATGACTGATAGTTCTTTAATACCATGGAATGAATATTAATACTCAACTTTTCTTGATGAAGCAGCTTATGGGGATTACTGGAGGTAAAAATGCTATGTCTGCTACAGGAGAACTTCCAAAGGGCTATTCCCTTTCCTAAGTCAGAAAAAAAGCCCTTTGCTTCACTGGTTGTCAAATGAATAACCCAGAAGGCAGCATTAGGTTTTGGTTCAATTTGCTTTTGAGACAGAGGTCAATTCAGAAAGGGTTATATTTGAAGCGTGTGTGCCCAGGGCTGCTGTGTAAGTGTGTGTAGACTGTGGCTGAGACAGGGGCATATGGCCCAGGACAAAGTGGGGCTGATGATCCAACATGTCCCCTGCTTGTCAGCAGTGCTCCCAACACAGGGCTTCAACTACTCAGAAATAGGGAGGAACATCTTTTTCTTACTCATTGACTTTTTCTTGGCACATCTTTGGGTGACCGTCCTATCAATGACCAGTGTGCGGTGAGTATTGCAAGACTCATGATTTACTTAAGATACCCCTACATTCAAATAAGTTCAAGTTGTTGTGGGAGGAAGCACTCAATTCAATATGGCTGCTTTGGGTGTGACTGATCTGGAACTCTTCTTTGGACTTTGCCCTCAAAGTCCCAGGCATATTCTTTTAAAAAAACTATTAAAAAATATTTTTAAAATTACAGGATAGTTCTTACATTTTGTGTATGAGGCTATTGGAAACATAATTTTTTAATTAAGGGGGAGGAAGTACTATTTTTGGTAAAAAACTGGAAGATGCAAACAAGTAATTTTACATGTTTACTTAAGCTTTAGTGACTTAATTAGCCAGCTCTGCTGAAGGTTTCAAACCAGAACTTTAATAATAGAACATTTTAACAAGAATGCCATATGTGCAAAGAATAAGCCATAAATTTAGTTCTGTAAAAGGGAAGGGAAACTCCAATGCAATATAATTTCAGGAAGCCTAACGCAAAATTCCCTGACTTATCCAGTGCTAGCAACACGCCTTCAGTTGTCATCTGAAGGACAGAATCACGTGCATGACTTGTTTGGAATATTGCTACAGCAAGTCTAAGGGTTAGGAGTCACCATGTTAAATACCACATCTTGGTGTGATAGTGAAGTGACAGGTGTGTTTGGGCAAGCTACTTAACCACAGTTACTTTTTTTTTTTTTTTTTTTGAGACAGAGTCTCGCTCCTGTTGCCCAGGCTAGAGTGCATAGAGTGCAGTGGCGTGATCTTGGCTCACCGCAACCTCCACCTCTCGGGTTCAAGCGATTCTCCTGCCTCAGCCTCCCGAGTAGCTGGGACTTCAGGCGCACGCCACCACACCTGGCTAATTTTGTATTTTTAGTAGAGACGGGGTTTCTCCATGTTGGTCAGGCTGGTCTCGAACTCCCAACCTCAGGTGATCCGCCCACCTCGGCCTCCCAAAGTGCTGGGATTACAGGGCGTGAGCCACCGCTCCCGGCCCACAGTTCCTTTTTACTTTGAATTATGATGCATTTGGACAAATAATCACACCTACCTTTGACTTGGAACCATACTGAAGACTGATTTTACGATAGCAAGAGGGGATCCATGTTAATATAATTCTTGACATTTATCTTTCTTGTAGTTTTAAGAAGCTCATTATATACATTATCTCAATCCTTCCAGGCTGAGAGATAAGTATTCCCATTTTACAAATAAGAAAGCTTTAAAGAGCAGAGGTATATAAAGGTTTAACATCATACCCAGCTAATAAGTAAATGTGCTGGGACTCAAACCTGGCTTTTCAGAGAGTGAGGCCAGTGATAGATTGATACCACCAGGATGGTGATAAAGTAAATACTTTTTGAAACAGGAGAAGTTCTCATGAGTGTATAAAGAAAATGTGATACATACACACATACACACACACACACACACACGCCATGCAATACTACTCAGCCATAAGACAGAATGAAATAATGGCCTTTGCAATAACTTGGATGGAACCAGAAGCCATTATTCTAAGTGAAGTAACACAGGAATAAGAAACCAAATATTACATGTTCTCACTTATAAGTAGGAGCTAAGCTATGAGGATGCAAAGGCATAAGAATGATACACTGGACTTTGGGAACTCGGGGGAAGCATAGGAGAAGGGTGAGAGATAAAAGACTGCATATTGGGTACCTTGTACAGTGCTCAGGTGACAGGCGCACCAAAATCTTAGAAATCACCACAAAAGAACTTACCCATGTAAGCAGAAACCACCTATATCCCAAAAACTATTGAAATAAAAAATATATATATAAAAAGGGGAAATTCTTAAGGTTCAGATAGAAAATTCTGCAGTTCCTTCAGCAAGGGCTGGGCTAACATTTCGTTAATTTTATATCAACTGTCTTATTCTCTAGTATTCTGGTAGTAATATTTTGAGTAACGTTATTACATATGCACACCACAATTAAAATGGTTTATTACCTAATCTCTGTAATTTATGCTCATAAAGAAAGAGATACACTGGTCCCTGAACAATTATTCTGGTCTCTGTGGAACAAAATTAAATATTTTTTCTAAACTTCAATTAATCTTTTGTCCTCATTTGAGAACATGTTGTTTTATATAACTTTATGCTTGGATTACAATTTAACTTCCTGAGCACTGTACTAGAAATTAGATACATAAATCTCATTGTTAGATATTAAAGCTCTGTCCTTAATTTGTTTCAAATTTTCAAGGTCTATATAGCAGCTAAACTTGATTCAAGAGCAACCTGTTAGAACTTACAGTAACTTTTTTTTCCTGAAATTCTTTGAAAGACACTTTTTTCCTTTTTCCATTTTAGTATAATATATTTGGCTTTTTTAGGGTAGGGATTTTAGGCTAACTGTGAAAAAAATGATTCTTTTAGTAGTTAAGAATTTAGAAACAAAAGCCAGATAGACATGTAATTAAATTTTCTCAGGGTTTGCTAGCTGTATGACCACCGGGAAGTTAGTTACATTCTTCAAACATTGTTTTCTCATCTGTAAAATGGAGGTAATTACAGCGTCTGTCTCCAGGTTAGGATTAAGTAATCTCTATAATGTGCTTCATAAACTGCCTCATTCATAGAGAACATTGAATACCTGTGCAGTTATTAGTTACTGTTGTTCTAGAACAAATGAAGAAGGCAAAAGAGAAATCTTAAGCCCTGTTAGAGTAGGGCGACCTCAGCTGCCTTTATCTTTTGGAGAAGGTAGTTTCAGAGGACAATGAGTGTCTGCAATAGGGGTGGATGTACGTGGCATCAAGCTGAGCATAACCTAACCTGTTCTGATGAAAAGTTCCTTTTTTTCATTCATTAAAAAAAAAAAAATCTCAGCTGAGTATGGTGGCTTATGCCTGTAATCCTAGCAGTTTGGGAGGATGAGGTGGAAGTAGTTCTTGAACTCAAAAGTTCAAGACCAGCCTGGGCAACATAGCAAGACTTTGCCTCCATGAAAAATAAAAAAAATTAGCCAGGCATGGTAGCGTGCACCTGTGGTCCCAGCTACTCTGGAGACTGAGGCAGGAGGATCACTTGAGCCCAGGAGTTTGAGGCTGTAGTGAGCTGTGATCTCTCACTGCACACCAGCCTGGGCAACAGAGCGAGACCTGGTCTCAAAAAAAAAAAAAAAATTTCTCTTTGGTCTTTCTTCGTTTCTCCGCTTTTTCTATCACAATATTCCCTCCCCTCTCCTCTTGTCTTCTCTTGTCTTGTCTTCTCTTCTCTTCTCTTCTCTTCTCTGTTTCCGAGACAGGGTTTCTCTCTGTTGCCTAGGCTGGACTTGAACTCCTAAGCTCGGATGATCCTCCCACTGATCTGGGACTACAGGTGTGCACCACCATGCCTAGTGCCTGGGACTACAGATTTGCACCACCATGCCCAGTGCTTAGGACTACAGGTGTGCACCATCATGCCCAGGGCCTGGGACTACAGGTGTACACCACCATGCCCAGTGCCTGGTTCATTCTTTATAAGTTCCATATCAGCCAGATATTGATTACCTTAAAGCAAATGAAACTGGAGTTGAATGACCCTTTTTGAGGTAATTTTTAAAAGTCTCTACATAGGAAAATGCAGCACTTCCTGAAATAGGCAAATGTTTGTATGATGTTTTAAATTACTTTTCAGCTCTTCATGACTCCCATAGGCCAGAGGTCTGACACTTCCCCTCTCCCCTCTCTGCTCCCTAGTTCAGCTATGTGCCATCCCTGCTTCATTCTCCAGCACCAAGGTCCTTAGTAGAAGCAAATTTCCACCTCAGGGAGCGTCAACCAAATGGAGAAGTCTTGGTAACAGGGCCTGTTGGATGTGATTAGTTGACTGTGCTTATACACAACTTGTTTTTTTTAATGAAATAAAAATTGCATATGCGACAGTGCTTTAATCTTTTATCTTCATATATGACACCAATCTCAAAGGGGTCATTTCTGTTTCAGGCCCTTCTTGAATTTCTCCAAAGAGTAATAGATAATAAAGAAAAAAATAAAATGACAGTCATGAATGTAGCAATGGTCATGGCCCCGAATCTCTTTATGTGTCATGCGTTGGGATTGAAGTCCAGTGAACAGCGAGAATTTGTAATGGCAGCTGGGACAGCAAATACCATGCACTTATTGATTAAGTATCAAAAACTTCTGTGGACAGTAAGTATATATCATATGCTTTGTTCTTAGTAGTTTAAAAACATATTGCCTGTTTGTTATTAGCTTTATTAAATTACATTTAAAATTTGTGAGTGCAGAAAATATTAAAGACATTTTATTCATATAGGTAAGGAGGGCCCTGTGAATTTCTGTTTTAAAATTATGTCAAAACATGCCTTGTAAGAAGTACTTTTTATTTACTTCTGCCTATTTTCCCATTTCTCAGTGTTTAGCCCTGCTCTATTTTTAAAAGCCCATGCTATCTTCGTTTCAGATTATTCAGTTCTTATTCATAGACCCTTTATTGAAAGGGGTGCATGCATTTTGTACCCTTATTGCTGAGAACATGTTTAAAAATGGTTTCCTCTGTTTTACACTTATTTTGAGCTTGCTTTGACAGCTTATCAGTGGATGGTAGTGGATGAGAGCCTTCGTTGATTAGGTGCTCATGTTCCAATGAAATTTATAATTTTTCAGCGAGGCATCTTATAAGCCTTTAGAAAAAAATGACCTAAAGGAATTCCAAGCAAAATTATAATATTGAATATTTCAATCTCTTATTTGAGGAACTTCCAAACATTAATTTGTTAAAAAGAGTGATGATATTTAGATCCTGAAGTCTTTATAATCTATAAAAAGACAACTGATGTAGATGATTTCAAATGTGTTTTTTAATAAAAAATTAATGTCCATTTATTAAATCTCAATGTTTGTCAACCTTATTTCATGGTTACATTTTGATACCTTAAAATATTTTGTTTTTGCTAATGTGATTTCTTAGGATAAATTTGTCCTGGATTTTTGCTAGCCACCTATCAGCTCTTGTTTCTTGGGGAGTTGTTCCTTCTCTCGTGACAGCAGAGGCTAGCTGGTTATTAGAAGGGGACTTTAGGTTAGCTAGCAGGGCTGTAGGTAGGAGGCTGCAAAAGGAAAGACCTATGGAGGTGGTGGCTTCTACTGCTCGTCACCTCAGGGGGTCTCCAGTCTGGAAGAAGGCCACTGTGTCCTTGAACTTCACAAAGCCTCTTTTGGAACCTTCCACAGTGGGTGGTGAATTACACCACGTGGATGCCCTGCACACCTGGTAAGGGAATAATATGAAGCACTTTCTTTTCACAGATTTAATGAATAGTGCATGGAAAATGGCAGTCTTATCAAAAAGAGAAACTCTTTACTCCTTTCGAAATTTAAAAAATACAGTTTTTTTCTGTAGTTTAAAATGCTGGCATTTCTTTTTCCTCTCTAAGATTAATTCCTTTTCTCTGTAGATTCCCAAGTTTATTGTAAACCAAGTGAGGAAGCAAAACACGGAAAATCATAAAAAGGATAAAAGAGCCATGAAGAAACTGCTGAAGAAAATGGCTTATGACCGAGATAAATATGAAAAGCAAGATAAGAGTACAAATGATGTAAGAAAATAGTGGAGATGTGTATCTATTCAGATTTTAAGTTATTTTTTAATACCAAAAATTTTTATTTAATGTCGTCATAGTATGACTTTCTGCCACTTACTAGGCTTTGGTACTACTTGCAAGTGAAAGACATCAGTAACTATCTTCCTACTACTGCTGCTGATGATCAGGATTGATAGTTGGTCAGGTGTTGGTGACTCAGCATGTGAGCTGTTAATGGAGAACAAAGGAAGATATCAAGACAAGACTGAACACACACACACACACACACACACACACACACCCCCACACACCCCTACCCCTACCCCTACCTCTCCTGCAGAGACTCTAGTGGCCTACTGAATATATAATCTAGAGTGAGTAAGTAACCCCACGTGAACCACTGACATTTTTTTTCTAAATTTTTCTCATCTGTAGAATGGGGGAAAATAGCTAATCCAGAGAGACAAATAGGTTAATGTTTGTGTTGTGCCGAGGATTATTCCTAGACTTTAATAAGTATTTGAGGGTTCTTAATTTGATCAGAAGAATTTTGAGAGCTAAATTGGAAAGAAAAAAAATTAAGGTGTTTCAAAAAGAAATACCTAAATAGCTGTATTTATAAAGTACTCTAAGGATATATTAAGAACTGGGTTTACAATAATGAAATATACATGTATATGCGTTTATGAAGTGAGTTACCAAAGCTGTAGCGTAAGATCATGAAATGAACGGGTTTCTATTGTTCTATTTAAGTGAATCCACCTCCTCCCTCTACCACCACCATTGAAGTTGTTTAGTTACATGCTGACATCTTGTGGAATAATGTGAAAATGCAGTTATCAGCCTTTGTCTGAATTTTTGGTTATGACCTGCTTATGGATCCAGTAACCATAAAAACAAAGTTTTTCTCTTAGATTTATTTGTATCTCTCACTCTTAAAAAATAATACTTTCTTGGCATTGTAAAACATTTTAAATCAAGTTTTAAATATCTTTAAAAACATAAAGAGAAGTTGTAAATAATGCTTATTTTTTTTTAGAAAGGCCTTGATATTATCCTAAAGGCTTTTAGAAAGCATTTTTGTTTGGCTTTTGGTTAAATTTAGAATGTTCTGTTACCTCTAAGACCATTGTAAATATGTGAATAAAATCTGTTTTGCAGCCCTTCTCATTCACATTAAGTGACTTTATAGCCTTGTCTTTTTATAGGGCATTTAGCCGTGATACTCTGAGGCTCAGGATCTACTTAAGGAAATATTTGGGGTGTACCTTTTTAATAATATTTAGAAAAAATGAAATGTTTACTTTTTGGAGATGGAATATTTTAGTGATTTTGTCATTTATGGGAAAAAGCATTTGAGTTTTGTTTTGTTCTTCCCTTATGTGAAATTCAGTTACTCATCTAACAAAATGCTACTGCCACCTTGGTGCTAGGCCCCCACTTTATGTTAGGTGTTCCCAGGGAGTCAGGGAGGTTCCCAGGGAGGTTCCTCGAGTGCTCACCCTCAAGGAACCAGGAGAAGGGATGTAGAAGGGATGTAGCTCAGAGGTATGTGATTGAAGCCTGACCACAGTACCGTCATCGACAAAACAGGAAGTACGCATGAGAGAGGCTTCACTGGGGAGTCAAGCTGAGATGTGAAAAATAAATCAGTGTTGTTCAGGTGTCACTAGGGAGGAACCATCTAACCCGCAGAGGAAGCCTTCTGACATCGCAGCCTATGGTGGAGGTCCATTTGGCCTGTCATTTTGGTAGAAAAATTCTAATCTCCAGCCTGGCCAAAACAGTGGAACCTCGTCTCTGCTAAAAATATAAAAATTAGCTGGACGTGGTGGCACACACCTGTAGTTCATCTACTCGGGATGCAAAGGCAGGAGAATCGCTTGATCCCAGGAGGCAGTGAGCCAAGACTGTGCCACTGCACTCCAGTTTGTGTGACAGAGTGAGACTTCATCTCAAAAAAAAATTCTAATCAATATCCAAAGGTTTTTTAAAAAAAATTATGTGGTTTTATTAGGGAGAGTAAATAGACACAGAAAGCAATTACAGAACAAGTAGAGGTGTAAGCTAAGTTCAAATACTGTGGATATGTGGTAAGTCACTAAGTAACAAGAGTTTTTTGCATGTTTCTTCCAACTGGCAACTGCCAGAATTCTAAAACTAAAAGATTTAATGTGAAAGTTTGAACCACCATCTGAATAACAAATGGATGTTGGGACATCCCTCATCTTCTGGCGGTAAGGGGCCTGCTTTCGAGCAGGGTAGCAATTGCCTGGAATTGAGTAGAAGCTGTTCCCTTTGGATGGAACATAGACCATCTACTTTGCTGTAAGCCACGCCCGCTCCTTCATTCTGTCTGGTTGCTGTACTTTCTTTACTCTCCTCCAAATCATTCAAATATGCAGTATGAAACTATAGGGCATGAAATTGCCTGGGGGTAGTTTTTTTCATTTGTTAAACAGTTACTTGATATGTGCCTACTGTGTGCCAGGAATTATTGGATACTTGAAATATAAATTATTGGATGAAACATATAAAAATCACTGCTCTTCTACAGCTTAAATTCTAAAAATAAAAGTAAATCTAGGAAGTAATTCATATAATGTGTTAGTATGTGGTTTATCCTCCAAAAGTAATAAAAACAACAGAACAAGCGGAATTGGGAAGGAGAGCCCCTGGCACTATTAAGTTGAGATAGTCTGGATATTATTCATTTAAGCAAAGACAAGAAGAAGGGCAGGGAATTGAGCTGTGTGTATATCTCAGGAAACTCAGTCCAGGCAGAAAGAATAGTCTGTGCGAAATCCTTAAGGTAGGAACTTACCTTAAGGAGTGATTGTAACTGGAGTGAAGCCAGCAGAGGGAATGGTAGTGTGAAATGAGGTCAGGGGGCAAGGGGACAAGATTGCATAGGGCCTTGTAGACAGATCATCTTTAGAAATTTGGATTTACTCTGAGTGAAACGGGAGTTTGAAACAAAGGCTTGAAAATCTATACTATGTTTTAAAATGATTCCTTAGGCTGTTGTGTTGAGAATAGACTATAAGGGGGCAAAGAGAAATAGGGAGATCATTTGAGAGGTTCTTGTAATCCAGGTGAGAGATAATGGTGATTCAGACCAGGGTATCAGCATTGGAAAGTGGAGAAATGGTTGGATTCTGGATTTTGTTTTGAAGTTAAAGCTATTGAGATTTCCTGATGGAAATCATGTAAGAGAACAAAAGAGGTCAAAAATGACTGATTTTTGGCCTGAGAAATTGGAAGGATGGTATTGCTTTCAATTTCATGATTTCAATTTAGGACCTGTTGAGTATGATGTCTATTAGACATATAAGTGGGGATATTTGAAATGTTTGGAGAGACAATCAGGTCACACTAACTGGCCACTTAGGTGCGTAGAGAGACAGGGGCAGATGGGGGAAGCAGGAGTGAGCCTCGAGAGAGAGAGAGAGCAAAGTTTCTATTCTGTGCATGATAGGGAACTGCGGAAAGGCAAAGGAAAGATTGAGGGAGTGTAAGACTGGAGGGTAAGTAGGAGATGGTAGGTAATTTCCTTGTTGATGGGAGTATATAAATTGGTAGAGTCCTTCCAGAGAACAGTGGCATGTGGCAAAGTCTTGAAAACCATGCACTTCACTGGACTCAGAAATTGAGAGTAATAGCATGAGCAAGCAAATATTTATGGTTAAGTTCATTGTCATTTTCTTACACTGACCAAAATTAGAGATAATCCAAAAGAATAGAGGTGGCTAGTTAAATGTGTTATGGCATATCTATACAGCGAAATACCATGAAAATGTACAAATGTGTATCTTGACATTGAAGAGATTCGTAATCTGTTACTATGTGAAAAAAGAAGTTAGGAATCAGTGAGTGGTGTAGTGCTGTATTTTTAGGGGGTAGTAACTATGATTTTAATGTTTTGCATAGATCAGGCATGATGCTAAACATTGTATAAACATTGTCTCATGTAATATTTATGGTAGTCCAATTGGAGTGTATTATTGTGTAATTTTTTTCAGATGAGGAAAATGAGAATTACTGATCTTAAAGTTACTAAGGTTATCTAGACAGGAATTTGTGGAGCTGGAATTTGAAACCAAATCTGTATGACTTTAAATCCATGGAGTCTTCACCATTATCCTTTGTTTCGCCATAGATCACAGAGGGACTCTAAGAAGGATATATACCAAAACTCTGGGTTTATGGGTGGTAATACAATGAACATGGATCACTGCTGTTATAAAATATGTTTTATATGTAGTTCTTAAAAGGGTTCTGGGCTAGAGCCAAGTCCCAGTTGAGAATGGAAAAAACTTTAGAATGTGAGCCAATAGGAACCCTGCAAGATGTGGATGCTGATTGGATGTGAAGGGTGTGGAAGAAGAAGGGAATCTAGAATGACTTGCCAAATTTTGCCTTGGGTGACTTTAGCATCAAGCAAAAGGGAAACAGGCTTAAAAGTAAGTTTTTGACACTTTGGGTTAACGTGCCTGTGTGAGAGTTGGCTACAGGGGCCTGAATTTTAAGGAACATCCAGCATTGGAGGCACAGCTTTGGGATGAGCCTAGAAATTGTTGTTGAAGCCATAGAGTGATTCATATTATACAAGGTGGATATAGGAGTAAGAAAATAAAGAGATAAAGAGAGATCTCTAGGGATTCCAATATTGAACCATGGGCCATTCAAGAAGAGCTGGTAAAGGATGCGAGGAAATAATAGGAAATAAGAGAAAGTTGAAGGATCTACAGTTTATCTGAAGCCCAGGCAGAAAGAGTAGACTAAGTAAAAAGAGCTTGGTTAGTAATGCCAAATGCTGTGGAGAGGCTGAATAAGGTTAACATTGGACAAAGGTTTTTGAATTTGAAGGTTAGTTATTAGTTTCCCCAAAACATTGTCAATGATAATTTTTGGAAGAAACTAGGTTGCCAGGGATTGGAGAGTGAAAGAGATTATAGATCGTAAACATTCTTCAAGGTAATATTTTTAAGAGGCTTTGGCTCGATGCAGTGGCA